TCGAAAAAATAGATTTTTTATATATTTTACTATTGCTCAGCAAATTTCGGCAAATACTTTTGGCCAATGAGTGTAGAATTTCATGTCGTCGTCATAATAATAAATGTTCTAATTCGCGTAAATTTTCTTTCACTTCCATTTAATAATAATAGTGGTCTCTTCAATGCCCACTTCTATACACCTTGACACCTACCTCAGTACTGAGGATCAAAATCAGATGATGTGTCAACATAATGAGTAAGTTAGCAATAATCTGACTCTAAGTTCTGTGCCTCATTTGGCGCTGGTCAATAAAAATTATTGTGAATTTATTATGCGAGGCAAAAAAGGCTGCAAACGGCAAATTTACAATTGCTTGGGTTACGAAATGTCGACTTCAAATCCAAGTCCATTTTGCAAAACCTGGAACGTAGGAAAACAAAAATTTCCGTATAAATTGCTTTAATTCTCCCAAATCTGTCTTTTGCTACACTAAAAGTTGGTATTAACCGTGGCTAATCAGAATTGGTATGAAAGTTTAGCTGTCGGTGTCAAATGTAATAATTTGGAAAGGTTCTCTTAATTCGTACGCGAAAGATCAATTTAAATATGAAACATAGTAAATGTCCTATTATAAAATCAAACCGTTGAAATGACATTGATGTTATTATTCGAACTTCACTGAAACTCAACACGACTTTGAATTTGATGCTTGTCGGAATACATTAATAATTTATCAAACGCATTAACACCCGTATTCATCGCCAACGTAAATTGCCAACATTGATTTCTTTATTAAATTCTTTATTGCTAGGTTGATATTACCGTTCGTCACAAAGAAGAACGAGACTTTTCGTTGATTTGTGTAAAAGCCTAGCGACTGCGAACAATTAGACCGGTATGTATGAATTAACAATTCCATTCAGTGATATTCTAGTTATTGTATATGACTATCCATTGCGGAATTTGTTTCATATTACCTGAACACGCGACGCTAAACCATTTGATGCCAGATAATTTTGAATGTAAGTGCGGCCAATTTCTAACATGTTGAGATACATCTTCTGGCAAAGAGGCGCGTTGCAATCTCAATAGTAAAAGGTTCTCCCATGAATGTATAAAAGCATTCAGATGGGTCTTCTCGATAGATGTGAGATTTCGCAATGATAAATGAGTTTTCTGGAGAATGCTTTGATGCTGAAAAAAACAAATTTAACAAAGATGTTTAACAGTAAAATATTACAAAGCTTTTGTGAATGGATAACAGCATTTTACTTACAAAATGGGCAGTGTCTATCTTAGAATAATTTTTGGCTAAGTTGCGAGTTGATTTATTCATTAGTAAAAGAGGAATGGGGAAAAAAATCGATAATATAATTCTTAACTGTATTGTGTATTACCAGTAGCTGCCACATTCTTAACTATGGCACTAGGAGACTTTATGGCAGCCACTTCCAAACACCAACAACACAGGGCTACACTGACTATGATAGAATAACAGTAGAAAGGCTGCATAGTGCATGTTGCATGACACATGATATAACTGCGCTTGTGTTCAACCAAATTATACCGACCCATCATGAATGAACATTTTCTTCTTTCCACCATAGGTTTTGAAATTAGACATAATCCAGCATTTATATCACGCAGAGTTTTCGAGGTCTCCTTGTCGTGGGAATTGATATTACTCTTAACAAGACGGGAACCCATATTGCTTATGTTAGCCTTAAGAGGATGAAAGGTGTATCTTGACCTTAAATTTTGAAGAATCACTGGGTTTAGAATATCGAGCGCTTTTCTTAGTTTAAAGGCTTCTCTTTTAAAAGCGTTGCTAAAATCGAATGAGGCGAGCCAGTGATGATAAAAGTTAAGGAAATTCCAACGTTCGGGTGGTGTATCTAAGAAGTATTCATCTTCTATGATTTACATTTTTCAACAAAGATTTGAATGTGTGTGAATGCAGCGCCCGCGACAGCCAAGTAAGTGGCAATAGCAAAAGAGTCGCATAGATTGATAGTGAGATGATACTGTGATGTAATTGGGAGAGCATGCAAAAATGGGTACCATTTGATTTGGACAAGACATTGGGCGTGCTCTCTTCGCTGACTCCTCCGTAGTAACAATGTCTTCTATCGTATCTGAACTCTCCCTAAGAGAAGAAGCATCTATTATAATATTCATGGCAATAAATTTCCGTTAATAAAGCGCGGGAGTCGCTTTCGGCAATGACACGTTTTTTTCTGGAAACATCATCGCCAACCCCAGGCGCGTTGCGTTTGATGTTGTACAAATTGAAAAAAAATTTTTTATACAATTCAGCACTCGCGATTTTTCGAAGCTTACTGTAGAGAACGAAGAAGGGCTTTAAGCACCGACTGTATTGTTAAAAATAATTTAAAATATCAAAACCTCATTAGAGGCGTTTATTACAACAAATGGAAGTAGCTGTGCCCAAATAAAGGACCCACCAAACCAGCTGTATATTTAATCGAGTAATTTTCCTTTTTGATTTTGTGTGTCCTTTGCTAAAGTGGACCTCTAAAACTGCTTGTAAAATTTCCTTTTGAATAAATCAAATGAATGCAACTTGCTATATTCCTTTCTTAATGTTATATACACATTCAACTCTGTTTGTACCGGACGAGTTGGCATAGTTTAAGTTCTCTGTGTCCTTCCGGAACCGGTACATGGCGTCCCACATTTGAGTTTTGTTGACAATATTTACTAATAATTTAACATTTATACAGTATGCAAAAAGACATTAGCGTTTTTGTACAATTTTAAATACTATTCGTACAGTGGTTAAGTAATAATTAAACTTTGTCAATTTTAGTCATATTTTACCAGCCAAGAATGTAAACAACATTTGTCTATTACGCATCCAAACTGGGAACGACAGTTACTCATTATTGAAATGAAGGTGTCAATTCTGTGCCTGAGCTAGCAAGGGCCACAAAGCTACCAATTACAACTGTTCGATATTGTTAAAAACTGGCACATTGAAGCATAGAGGGTTTAGAATTCTATTCCGGAGTCCGTTTTAATAATTTAGTAAATTAGTTGCGACGCCGGTTTGAAATAACGGTGAGCGAATATATTTTCGTAGTAGTTATATCTCTTATGGCGTACTACTTTAGTATGACAAGAATAATGAAAGAAAAAGTATTAGACTGTAACAGGAAAAATTAAAGCAAAATTTTATAAATAAAAGTTATATACTGTACCCTCACGTGAGGAATGTGCAATGTAACACGAGTCCTCGCAACTTGTTAATTCAAACTATGTCAGGTACTGTTAATAATCCAGCAATTGACAACTTGGTTCAATCCTCCTTGGGAAGTGAATACGAATTAATACTGAAATGGATTCCTTGCTCCAAAATTACCGACATAACGTCAAGTCCAATGGACAACGTCTACTATGCTAGGCATTTTGGCCGTGACAAGATAATGCTGGTATTCATTGGAAGTATAAGTAGCGAAGAATGTACACCAACACTTGTGAGTGAGTTTGCTAGAATATACTCACTTCCAACACACAAGTACAATA